AGCGCCTGCCGCACTGCCGCAAACTCTTGCACCATTCTGTGAATTCAACAGAAGGATCATTCCCCACATCAATGGCCAGACTGTAAGCACTGGTCACAAAGCCCCAACTGAGAGACTAGATGTTCATGTACACATCAAGCGAGGAAAGGGAAAGGTACCATGGCACTGAACCCCGAAAACTTGAAGAGGAGGCTTGTTACGCAGCAACCAATGTAAGGACACTGGGGTGCGAACCCAATGGTCGTGAAAGAGGCAGCTCCTAAGATATCAGAACAGCCTCCGAAGCAAAATCCTGCCAGATGGTTTATAAAATTTAGGCTCCCACACATCTGCTCGAGCAACCACTGAGTGACCCGGGTCCCCCTCAAAAACAGGCAAAAGCGGGACTGCAGCCAGAGCAGAACAGCAAGAGGGAGAGAGAGAGAGATGCAGTCTAAGAATCCCAAACAAGGCCAAGCCAAGTCCGAACCCGAGACGGAACCAATTGGGACTTTCCGCCAATTCACCAGGAACCCGAACCCGGCAAGGCGAGAAAAAAACAGATTCTTAGCTAGCAGACAAGTAGATCAGCTGGGAGCCCACACCAAACAGTTATTGAGGTAGGCCAAAACCCGAAGCCCTAGCAGACACAGATGAGCGACAACGACCCAAGTCAAACGTCTAAAAACGCGTGGTGCCAGATTTAAGCCGACAGGCAGAGAATGAAAGGGGTAAGCCTGTCACCCCACCTGGAACCACAACCAATCCCTGACACCCAATGAATAAGAACATGCCAATAAATATCCCAGAGGTCCAGGGAAATCATCTAAGTGTCCGGCTCGAGAACGAGCCGAAAAGAAAGGCCATCTGAAAAGAAGGGCATGGAATCAACTATTTCAGACGCGACAAGTCCAGAATGTACCAGAGATCTGCACAGTCCCGTTTCGGAACTGGAAACAAGCGGGAAACCCACTTCATAGACGAAGTCGTTTTTCCCAAACCCAAGTGAAGCCACTCCAAGATGACCCGACCGAGGGACAGGGAAGAAAACTGCCCTCTCAGAACCGACCCCCTCCACTAGTAACACTCCACCAGTCGGATACATTGTCTCTGATTACCACCCTCATCTGTCTGAAAGTTAGAATATTTTTCATTCACGTCAGAAGGTTCCCTGCCACTCCAGCATGTTCCAGTTTCAAGACCAACCTCTTGTGTGGGACTCTGTCAAAAACCTTTTTTTAGGTCCAGATAGACCCAGTCAACCCAACCATCTCTTCTCATTAGACTCTGTGGCTCTATCATAAAAACTATTAGAATCTCTGTGGCTCTATCATAAAAACTAAGTAGATTTGTTACACAGGATCTTCCTGTTCGAAAACCATACTGCCTGTCCTTTATTATGTCATTAGTCTCTACATGTTCCACATATTTGGCTTTAACTATTGTTTCTAGTGCACATGAAGTCACAATAATGTGGCTAAAAAATGTTGACCAAACCACATACTAGAAATTGAAGAGACGATGATGTTTCGGTCCATCCTGGATCACTATCAAGTCGATTGTGATGACCGATCGCTCTGATGATCAGCGAAGCACTACACCTCAAAAAGTCAACACCAGCAATCAACAGCCAATTAATGCACAACTATATTCTACCCACTTCAAGACCTCGAACCAACATAGAAGCAGCAAGAGGAAATGTGCTTCTTAACACTTTCGCGCATCCGAGAAAACCGTGGTCGTCACCAATATTATTAATATCACCGCGGGCGTGACCCTCTCGGGAGTCACGAGAAAAAATATTTGTATAAAATCCATTTATTATCCGATCAACTTGGGAATAATTTACATATGTTTGCCATGAAATTTACGTTTTTTCTAATACCCGAACAGCTTATTAAAGAGAACGGCGTGGCAGTGAATCATCGTGGTAAAACAATTGTATTATTGACACGACGAGTTTAATCGACGTAGTTTTTATATATGTTGCAGGTCGAATGCATCTTTATGTGACCTTTATACTTATGTTCTTCTAGAACATTCTATTGCGAACACATTGGAACAAAAATAAAATACATACATTGAAAAATAATGTCAGGACAGTGAATTGAATATACACTTTTCAAAGCGAGTTTCGCCGATATGCCACCGTGGGTAACACTTCGGCCACTTCCTACACTGTTTTGGGTGGGCTACGACATTGAATCTATATTTATATGCATATGTCCGTGTAGAGAATTTTATTGCGATTCCAATGATACCACAATTAGCGATGTAGGACAACTGTAGGCTTCGAAACCATTAAGAGAGTGGAAACATTTTGTTGCTGTTTGGCGCTCTCGGCGAGTGATCTGAATAGTTTTTTATTTGGTGTTGATAGTCCTTATGCTTTGGCGGCATTTTATAGGTACGTTCTTATAGACAATTTTATTGCGAACACAGTGATACCAAATTTAAATACGTGCGCCTTCAATTATTGTCAGGACAGTCAAAAGAGTGTACACTTTTTCGGTCTTACCGCGTAGGCGCGCAAACCGCCGAAAGCACATAGGGTAAGATTTTTTTCTGAACGCCGATAGCGCGAAAGTGTTAAGATATGGGCACCATACAACCGCTGCATATTCCAGCTTTGGTCTAATAAAAGTCGTGAACAATTTCTTTAGTATTTCTCCATCCATGTATTTAAAAGCAATTCTGAGGTTAGAAAGTGTAGCATAGGTTCCTCACACAATGTTCTTAATGTGGTCCTCAGGTGACAGTTTTCTATTTAGAACCACCCCTAGATCCCTTTCTTTGTCAGAATTCTTTAAAGATTTCTCACATAATTTATAGGTTGTGTGGGGTCTATGTTCTCCTATTCCACATTCCATAACATGGCATTTATTCATATTAAATTCCATTTGCCAAGTGTTGCTCCATATACTTATTTTGTCCAGGTCTTCTTGCAGGGCATGACAATCATCTAGGTTTCTTATCTTCCCTATTATCTTAGCATTATCAGCAAACATGTTCATGTAATTCTGTACTCCCACTGGTAGATCGTTTATATAGACAATGAACATTACCGGTGCAAGAACTGATCCCTGTGGTACTCCACTTGTGACATTCCTCCAATCCAATACGTTGCCTCTGATTACGGCCCTCATTTTTCTGTCAGTTAGGAAATTTTTCATCCATGTTAGTAGCTTACCTACCACCCCTCCAATATGATCCAGTTTCCAGAACAACCTCTTATGGGGAACTCTGTCGAAAGCCTTTTTTAGGTCCAGATAGATGCAGTCAACCCAACCATCTCTTTCCTGTAAAATTTCTCTGGCTCGATCATAAAAACTGAGTAAGTTCATTACACAGGATCTTCCAGATCGAAAACCATACTGTCTGTCTGATATTATATCGTTTTCCTCCAGGTGTTCTACCCATTTAGTTTTAATTATTTTTTCCAATATTTCAACTATTACAATTGTCAATGATACAGGTCTATAATTAAGGGGGTCTTCCCTGCTTCCACTTTTGTAGATTGGAACTATGTTAGCCTTTTTCCACACATCAGCTACAACTCCTGTAAACAGGGATGCCTGAAAAATCAGTTGAAGTGGAATGCTGAGCTCAGGTGCACATTCTCTCAGAACCCATGGTGAAACTCCATCTGGACCAACTGCTTTGTTCTTACTTAGCTCCTTGAACATTTTTTCCACTTCGTCTCTAGACACCTCTATGGGCTCTATGTTGTTCTCTGGAATTCTCATTGTGTCTGGTTCCCTAAAGATTTCATTTTGTACAAACACACTTTGGAACTATTCGTTTAGTGTTTCACACATTTCATTTTCATTTTCCGTGAATCTACTTCCCATTTTCAACCTCTGAATATTATCCTTTACCTGCAATTTGTTGTTTATAAATTTATAGAATAGACCTGGTTCTGTTTTACATTTATCTGCAATCCCTTTTTAAAAATTTCTTTCTGCCTCTCTCCTCACTGCCGTGTAGTTGTTTCTCGCATCTTTGTATCACTGGTATGTTTGGGGGTTTGGCCTCTTCCTGTATTGATTCCATTTTTGCGTCTTTTGGTCTCTGGCCCTCTCACAATTTCTATTGAACCAATCCTGCTTCCTAGTTCCTAGTATGTATGTATGTATGTATGTATGTATGTATGTATGTATGTATGTATGTATGTATGTATGTATGTATGTATGTGCAATTGACGATCACTATTGATTGATTATTTGTATGAGAAAAATACAGAGAAATGGAAAAAAAGAGAGATGAACGTTTCGGCCGATCTGGGCCTTTGTCAACACCGGACTGAAAGAAATCACAAAGGAAGAGTGGAGGCAGACACTAGATCCTGACCACCATCTCCTTGGGAAAGAATTAACCAGAAAAAGGTATAGATTAGCTTAAGAGTGGTCAAAAGGATTTAAGCGGTAAGAATAAAAGATTAAGACAGCCCTGGGTTCATTGTGATAACTCCTCTAGGTCGTTTTCTGCCTGATTCTTGAATTTCATCTACCATTGGTACCTCATGTCTGGATGCTTGTTTCCTACAACCACTTTATTACTTTGTACCCGAGTTAAATTCAGGTGCTCAAAGTTTAATATTTGTACACTACTTCAAAGCTCACTTTATTCTTTCCATTCCCACCAGTTCACCCTTGACCTCCATTGCTCTGGTGATGAAAGTTGGTGTGTGTGTGGAAGAGTATAAGGAAGGGGTCATTGCATGGTCAAGTATGCATGGGGCTGGAAACAAGTAGTCTTAGGATGTACAATGTCTTGGTGAGTCAGGAGTGAAGAGGATGGGTTGCAAGTTGTGGGGGTGAAGAGTGGGATAAGTTAATTCATGTTTAGTGTTGAATTGAGGTCTAGGGAGTGAGGTTAATATGCAAATGCTGCAGAAGGGCAATTACTAGGTTCACCACTCCCATCAGAAGCCTGGCCTCAGGCCAGGCACGGGGAGTAGAAGAACTGAAACCCTCTCCTGGTAAAAATATCTACATTGGTATAAAAGTGTGGATACTAACTTGTTGTGTTCCTGGTGCTGAAACATTAACAATCCCAGCAGCCTGTTTCACCACAAGGTAATTGATTATGCCATTACGAAGACTGTTTTGCTGCTGCATGAAATCATACGAGTCACGACCATGCGGTAGTGCCAACAGCATACAATGTTCTGCTTCCATCTGCAACAAAGTAGATTTCATATAATTGTATTGTTGTGTATACTGTCATACTAAAACTCTGATTGAAAGGACAGAGAAAAGGACAAGGATAAGAAAAGGGAGAAGTGGAGGGAGAGGAATGGAAAGGGGAAATGAGGCATGGAAGGTGATAATGGAAGATGGAAGGAATTGGGGGATGAGGTGATGGGGGAGGGGGAAGAGAATGGGGGAAAGGGTGGAAAGAAAGAACGAGAAAAAATGGGAAAGAAGGGTGGAAGTAAAGGGAAAGAAGGGTTGGGGAGAAATGTGCAAGAAGGAAGAGGGGGGATGAGGGGTGGAGCAGTGAGGGAAGGTGTGTTAAATGGAAAGGATGAGGTGGAGGGGTATGTAAGGAAGATGGGCATGGGCATGAAGATGGGAGAGGAATGGAAGGGGGAGGGGGAAGAGAATTGGACAGTGTAAGAAAGAGGAGAGAGTAAGAAAGAGGAGAGAGTAAGAAAGAGGAGAGAGTAAGAAAGAGGAGAGAGTAAGAAAGAGGAGAGGAAGACAGGAGAGGGGGTGGAAAATAAAGAAAGAGGGGTGCAGTAGAAGGAAGGTTCTGACTGATGAAGAAATAATTTATTTGTCAAAGAAGTAATAGGTACCAGACACTATTAAATAAAACAAACAGTATATAAAATATAAAGCTTACAAATAAGTACTGTAGTAACAATCAAGACTTGAATGTAATGAAACACCTTTTTCTGGGTGGCTTCAGTAGCTCCTCTTGCATTAGCTCTGGTACCTATTGAAGCTTAACACGGTTTCTAACCCCACTGCCATTCTTGGTGACTGCCTGCTGACGATGTTCGTCTCTATAGCCTAAAGGCCCACAGCCGTCACAGCCAGGATGGTATTGTAACTTTTTTGGTATTGTCATTTTTCCAGCAGAAATGTGTCAAGCTCTCTCTAGCTTCTGCTGTTGTTCAGGTGATATTTTTTTGTATTTGTTGGCAAGGAGATTGACCTTCCAATATTTGCCATGTGTAACCAAGATACTGTATCTTTTTCATTTCTGTTCCAAGGAGTATAGTGTGATTGCATTGTGTCAGACTGTCCCAGTAGTGTAAATGCTTCATCAAATTTATGCAGTTAGTAAAGAATCGTTGTACATCTTCCAGCACTGCAATGTTGCATCGATCTTAAAAGTGTATTTCAGGACAGCAATATTTACATATGATATAGATATGAAGAGTACATATAACATCACTGGTGTAGTATCCCTTGTTTTGAAGGTCCTCATTATCCACCTTATCATTTACTTGTGCTCACTAAATGTTTAGTATTACGTTTGGCCATCACTTACTATGGAGATATGTCACTATCTTACATCATGTGCTCTTAAAACTGTTTTAGTTTACCATACCAAAGCAACTGGAATTGTCACTGTAGAATGTTATGTTATTTTATGTTGGAACACCTTGCTAATATATGATATAATTTTTTTTTAATCTACACAAGGAAATTTTCATACTAATTTTAGTATTGGTAGTGAAGGATAGCATAAAACCATTGCTTGTGTATATCTTTTATGAGGATCATGTGTAATGGTCCGAGGACTGTACCTCGTGGGACAAAGCTTCAAACCTTCCTCGGGCTGGATTTTGTTTTGGTTTCCTGCCATTCTAGTTCTAGTTAATTTTTTTATAAATTGTAATTTCACCTCACCTTTCATTTCACCTTACCTGTTATTGCCTTAATTTAGGTTTTGTGTGCTATCAAAATCTGTGTACATAACATATGCAATTTGGTTTGTTTTTAATGCCTCCATAATTTTGTCATGGTGATAAAATAGTTGGAAACTCAAGATGTTCCTGCTCCATAACTGTATTGATCTGGATTATGTAACTCATTCTTTTACATATAACTGGCAAGTTGGCTTCTTAGCATCTTCTGAAAACCGTAATGATGTGTGATCTCCGTGTGATCTTCCTGTAGCTTTTGGCCCAGGCTTTACTACCTCCCTTGTTAAGTGGGGCAATGTCTGCAGATATTAAGGTATGAAGGATGGCATGTCTAAACCTGTCCTGCATATTATTCTCAATGCCTGTACTAATGGAATTTTGCACTTCTTTAATAACACTGAATTCCAGAACTCTGGCCCCAGAGTATGTATGCATGGGCATACTGTATTATCATTTTTTATGGCTGTGGGTTTTATTAATTAAAATACTCGATATATACCTTTCCATGTAGGCTGAGATCACGAAGTTATTAGTCTTCCAATCTCTGTTGTCAATATGTTGTTAAACACTGTATAGTTCTTTCAGGATTTTGTTAATTTCTTCATTGCCTTTAGAGTATGTACTTCTTGTCAGCAAGGGGCCTATACTTGCAATGGTATTATATTCAATCTTGACATGTAAAGGAGAAATATTTTGTAATTTTTTATGGTTTTTTGTTATTTTTGTATGTCTTCATTCTAGTACTAGTGTTTTTGTTTTTGTTAATACAGAAAAGGGCGTTTCATTACATTCAACTCGGCACCTCAGCAGCATCCCAGTTCATACTCCCAACGGTGCCTCAGAAAATAACCAATCTGTCTAAAAGAAACAGATTAATAAAGGAACAAGAGACGGAGGTGCTCACCAAAGTACTGTAAGGTCGTAAACCCAGCACTCGGGAAAGGCGGGACTCAGCAACTGGAGAGTCCCCGCTCTAAGCCAGGCATGGATGGGGAACAAGTGGCGAGTAGCCAACATCTGGTACAACATCTGGTAGCCAGAAGCATTGAGTCCAAATATAATCCATACATATAGTATTAGAAAAATTGGTAATAATACTAGCATACCTGCAGACATTCTGGCAGGATAAACCAAGTGTTCACCACAACAGGACCCTGTTAAAAAACAGAGGACTTGCTCTTGGCCAAATACAACAAAGATGGCTGGAAACAAAAGGAACAAAATCCTTTCCTGCAGCCAAGAGTATGAAGTTCACAAATGCAACTACAAGAAGCCAGGGCCAATAAGAAAGCCACCTAGAAAATGTATCCTCAGCCGAGGGGCGGGAAGACAAGAAACCGAGACGAAGACAAAAATGTAAGAATCTGATCTAAGAACCAACAGATCAGAGGAATGAGAGCCATTCGGAGGTGAAATAAGGCCAAGGAGAACTTGAGGAATGAGGAGAAAAAACATCCTCCTCAAAAGCATGTATGAGAGGTTCTGCCAAGGTTAAATGGTAATAAGTGACAATATTGGGCATGAGATGGCACTCTGCAAAAAACAAAGACATGCCCACTGGGACAGAAATGGAAGGCAATCAGCAGAGAAAGGAGAAGATTTGAGATTAGAGCTGTGAAGCGTGAGAAAAGAGCTGTGGTGGTTAGCAGTCTTCATTGGCAGCATCAGGGAATACAAGCCAAAATGAAGCTATAGCAGACTTAGTAGCCAGAGGCAAGGCCACAAAAGGCCAATCAACATCAAAATGCCCCTCCCCCCCCCCTTCCACAGGACCAAAGTCGATGGAACAATGCTAAGAAAGGAAACTTCCTCCAAACACTGCACAGGTTACGAGAGGGCCAGATGAAAGTGTGATGCGGTTCACTCATCGGAGTCCTGTGTGACTGGTGCTGCCATCTCATAGTGGCAGTGGGCAAAGCTGGCAAGATGCCATTTCACTTATTTAGAATCTTGTTTGGCTATTTGGTTATCAAATTCTCTAATATTTTGAGTTTTTGCATTCCTTTTCTGAGCTTAGTACAAGTTAATCTACAATTCCCACATGATCCCCCCACCTGTATAAGAGGCATGATTTCATTTTTTAGATCACAATAGGTTTTAGCCCTGGTACCAGTGCTTAAGCTGTGGGAAGCCACGCACGCTCCCCAGAAATGAAGATAAGGAGAGAGAGAGAGAGAAGGGGAAAAAAATCTATAAGGAGTCCCCACAATCAAAATGTTTATGATAATTGTTATTATAAAGAATGGGAAGTTTACATACCTGAATTTTTCTAGCCACACCTTCAAGTTGAGTCTGTTCAAGTCTCATTCTTTGCCCAATACGAATTGGGGAGGTGCTTCCATCGGGATATACTCTTAATGCTCCACGTGCAACATCACTACTACCAGAAACGTACAACATCTGAACAGCTGCATGATCTTGTTTTAAGCCGAGCAGACCAGCCCACGTCACATCTGATCCCTGAGAAAAAATCATTAGTCATTATAAAATTTATACTGTAATCTTAAAAATTAACAAAACTAGAGTTTTGTCTTGTACATGGTACATTAAAAAAATGCATATTTGGCTCTGATTAAAATGCGGCTGGAATGATATCCATTACAAGACTAATATAATTATTCATGCAAGAGACCAACTAATGTTTCCCACAATTGGTCAGTGCAACTATTTCACAACCAAAACGTCTGGGTTTGATTCTTGCTGCAGGATGGAAATGCGTACCTTACCCAAGTCACTCCCCCAGGCTGACTTGCCACAAACCCCAACAACTGGCACTAAGAGTAACGAATCCTCAGCTATACAAGCTTCACAACAACCTGGCACTTTGAGTGAAAAACCACATTGACGACACTCTCCCATGACACATCCTCCAACCACCCCCAGATATTCAACACGCTGTACTACTAGCACGTCAAAGAAGATCAATGCAATTACATCCCAGACGTAAAGATCTGAAATACGACCAAATAACATAACCCCATTGTCAATTAACCTACCCCAACCTAACCTAACCTAACCTTTTACACGTTAACCTCATGTTACTTAATGTACTCTAACTTACCCTATCAATCAACCCTAACCTATCTGAATTGCGCCCAACTCCCAAACAAACTTTGACTCAAACTCAAGTCTTTTGACTAAACCTCACACTTTTCATTAAACAGCAACACTTTGAAACCACCATTAACACAACACCTCATCTTTGCCATTCTGAGTCCATTCCCCTCGTATGTTTATTGTTGTCTTTATCCTCACACAAATAGACGACATCAATATCTTCCAACCTCTGCCAAATTATAAACATTGATGTGCCACTGTGAGTGCCACATCTTTCAACATCACAACTCGTGCAATCATCGGGAGAAAGAACCTTCATGCAAACTGAACGTAATGCGAAGAAGACAACGAAGGATGGAGACAACCTTGCAGTACGATGGAGATTGAGTACAAATTTACTTAAGTTTCTATGATAGAGCAACAGAGATTTTACAGGAGAGAGATGGATGGGCTTGATGGCATTTATCTGGACCTAAAATAGGCTTTTGACAGCTTCCACATAAGAGGTTGTTCTGGAAACTGGGACAAACTGGAGTGACAGGTAGGCTTCCAACATGGATGAGAAATCTTCTTACCGACAGTAAACTGAGGGCAGTAATCAGAAGCAATGTATCTGACTGGAGACATGTCACAAGTGGAGTACCACAAGGTTCAGTTCTTCCACTGGTAATGTTCATTGTCTACATAAACGGTTTACCAGAAGGAATACGGAAGTACATGAGGATGTTTACTGATGATGCTAAGATAGGGACTAGGGAAGATAAGAAACTTAGATGATTGTCATGCCCTTCAAGAAGATCTGGACTAAGTATATGGAGCACCCCTTGGCCAATGGAATTTAATGTGAATAAATGCCATGTTATGGAATGTGGAATAGGAAAACAGACTACACAACCTACAAATTCTGTGAAAAATCTTTAAAAAATTCTGATAAAGTGATCTAAGGGTGGTTCTAGATAGAAAACTATCACCTGAGGGCCACAAAGATCATCATGCAAGGAGCCTATGCTACACTTTCCAATTTCAGATTTGCTTTTAAATACATAGATGGTGAAATACTAAAGAAATTGTTCATGACCTTTGTTAGAGCAAAGCTGGAATATGCAGCAATTGTATGGTACTTTTATGTTAAGAAGCACATCAACAAACTGGAAAAGGTGCAAAGACATGCTACTAAGTGGCACCCAGAACTGAAAGACAAGAGCTACGAGGAGAGGTTAGAGGCATTACATATCTCATAACTAGAAGATAGAGGAAAAGAGAGGCGATTTGATCACTATGTATAAAATAGTAACAGGAATCGATAAAATTCAAAAGGAAGAATTCCCGAGACCTGGAACTTCATGAACAAGAGGTCATAGATTTAAACTAACTAAGCAGACCTGCTAATAAATATAAGAAAATTCACTTTCGCAAACAGAGTGGTACACGGTTGGAACAAGTTAGGTAAGAAGGTGGTGGAGGCCAAATTCGTTAGTAGTTTCAACTCATTATATGGCAAAAAGAGTACTGGGAAGACGGGACATCATGAGCATTATTGTTGTGAATTTAGGAGCGACAACGATCATGGGATCAGATGCGCCCTGGCGTATCCATAAAGGGTTAATTGCAAAACCAAATCATGAAACGAATGACTTATCTCCGGAAACTAATATGCCTTGCAACAAAGAAATGCACAGACAGGCGGATGATTGGAGAGCCCCAAGAGTTCCTCAGGTTGACAAGCACCGGCCCCACCCCACACAGAGAACACTGGGTAGCAAAACCAAAAACTCAGCCTCCAACTAAAACGCAAAAGTCATCCAGTGCCTCCGGCAGAGCAGAAGCCGGCCACTCATCATGGCTGAGGGTACACCAGGAGCCCACCGAGACCCACCAACTCCCGGCACAGGACACCATTCGCCTGCCACGAGAACCAGCCAGAAAACGTACAAAATTATCAACAATCCTGTAACTCAAAGCGATGTGAGCACCAGGCGTCGAAACGATCCGGACCGTTGAATAAGAAAGCCAAAAGGTAGTATCAAATACAAAATCACAAAACAGAACGTGATCCGGCGGCTCCCAGGCAAAGGTGGTGTTCAGGCGTCTGTTTGTTGTCAAGGTTGAACCAGGAATTATCCACCATGATTGTACCTCATCCTATAATTGTACCATGATTGTACCTCATCCTATAATTGTACCATGATTGTACCTCATCCTCATCACTAAGGTAATCACACTTAGGTAATTAACAAAGGCACAGGGAGCAGAGGATTATTATGATCACCCTTACTGACAAAACACCCAGAAAATGAGCAAAGCATCACAGTCAACTGCAAAGTTTGTAGAAAACAAAACACCAAAACGACTCCACAAATGCTTCATTCAAACCCAAATGATTCACTTGAAGGTAGCTCAAACTCCCCAGCTGTGAATGGCCAAAAACAGGTGGGAACTCCAGGCTCGCACTCAAACAATGAGCTAGCCAGAGTTGAGAAACAATGAACTGATGCACCTGGTAAGGGAGGAGGGAATCGCAAAGCTACAGAGGCCTTCCCAGAAAGAGGTATTTCATTATATTCAATGCTGATTTTCTTTAGGAGCCTTTGGTGGCTCCCTGAAAACTAATAATATGAAGGAAAACATAAGACTTACTAGGGAGGAGAGTGGTAACTGTATTCATGAAAATGAGACACCAAGCTAGGAAACCCAACCCAGGGCAACCCAAGCCCAACTGGGACCAGGAACATTGACCACATAACAAGCCATTAAGACCCCTTGTTAACACTTCCAAAATCCCAGAGTCTGAATATCAGCCCACAACAAGTCAGAAAACACTGTGGCCAAAACTGTGAATTTGCAAGCATTAACACTTTCGCGCTCTCGGCGTTCAAAAAAAAAGCATACCCTAGATGCTTTCGGCGCTTCGCGCGCCTACGCGGTAAGACCGAAAAAGTGTACACTCTTTTCACTGTCCTGATAATAATTGAAGGCGCACGTATTTAAATTTGGTATCACTGTGTTCACAATAAAATTGTCTATAAGAACATATCTATAAAATGCCGCCAAACCATAAGGATTATCAACACCAAATAAAAAACTATTCAGATCACTAGCTGAGAGCGCCAAACAGCAGCAAAATGTTTCCACTCTCTTAATGGTTGCGAAGCCTACAGTTGTCCTACATCGCTAATTGTGGTATCATTGGAATCGCAATAAAATTCTCTACACGGACATATGCATATAAATATAGATTCAATGTCATAGCCCACCCAAAACAGTGTGGGAAGTGGCCGAAGTGTTACCCGTGGCGGCATATCGGCGAAACTCTCTTTGAAAAGTGTATATTCAATTCACTGTCCTGACATTATTTGTCGATGTATGTATTTCATTTTTGTACCAATGTGCTCGCAATAGAATGTTCTATAAGAACATAAGTATTAAAGGTCACATAAGGACGCGTTCGACCGGCAATATATATAAAAACTATGTCGATTATACTCGTCGTGTCAATAATACAATTGTTTTACCACGATGATTCACTGCCACGCCGTTTTCTTTTATAAGCTGTTCGGCTATTAGAGAAAACATAAATTTCATGGCAAACATTTGTAAACTATTCCCAAGTTGATCGGATAATAAATGGATTTTATACAAATATTTTTTCTCGTGACTCCCGCGAGGGGCACGCGTGCAGTATGATTAATAATATTGGTGCCGATGATGGTCTGCTGGAAAGCGCCAAAGTGTTAATGGGCCAATGTTAGACTACAGGATGGCTTTAATGACACTATCCTGTACAGGTAGTAATGAACTGCTACAACTGGACAACAAATGACATGCCCTCAGTCGCACAAACCAAGCATCAACCATCAGAGGACCCCACCAGAAGCCAACCTTCTTATTCTTTGCCAGACAAGAAGAAGGCTGCAAATATAGAGCTGCCCACCAGTGCTGAAAAAACCCTAGCCCATGCCCCAAAACCAAAGAGGCAATTATGAACCATGGGTAAAAAAATACCAATACCCCACCAAAAGACCAAGATGGCTCAGAAGGGACATAAGATAGCCAGAGCTGAAAGAATGTACAAGTGAACTTACGAAACAGAGCTGAGAATGTCTCGACTTCAAATGTCAACACAAGTGGCTCCTCCAATGCAGACTGATAAGAAGCGGCAGTATTAGGGATACAATGCCAATCAACAATCAAGGCAAAAAAGAATAAAATCACTGGAACTAACAGACGTAACACAATGAAAGGAGACCGAGAAAAAAGGAGCATCAGGAAATTTCACACTGATGTTGCAACAAAAGAAACAGGTAGGACACCAACAATTCAGACATCTATGCACCATAAAAATGATGGTAAACTTGAGTTGGAATCTACAGTCGTGTAGATCAGTGAGGAAGATGCTGGAAACCAAGGCTGAGCTGGCCACCAACAATCCAGAAGAAACACCTGGATGGAAATGAACTGAAGAGAGCACCCTCATCCATCCCCGGTTCAGACAACTAACCACTGGAGCAGTCTCAACAAAGCTAGAGCATGGAGCCCAGAGGAGTTCAAATCTTCCCCAAGGCATGCCACATGGCCACAAACTCTCACACTGTACTGCAAGTCCAACACAACACTAGTCCATGCCCACCACCTAGGAAGGAAAATCAAAGGAAAGCCCTCGGAGGTTTGAAAGCTTTTCAAAACCAAGCCTCGGAGCCTTTTCAAAAGCAAAGCCTCGGAGGCTTTGAAAGCTTTTCAAAGGAAAGCCCTCAGAGGAAGGAAGAAAACTCCAAAACCTCAGCAAGACTAGGCAGCTCAACTGCCTCCATGCCCGAAGTGGAAGGAGCCACCCCCGGAGATGGGCCAGCCACATCCCAAGGTAAACCCTGCCCCAACTCCAAAACCCTCACACATTTTAAAGCTAGAAGTAAGGAAAGAACACAAGTTAGGAGTACCACACACAAAGGGTGAGAGAGAAGAGGTGCAGATGGAACCAAGATAGAATTCTTCAACATCTACAATTCCAGGTCCCTAAAAACAACACAGGCCAACCCAGGGCATGCACCTGACAGCTGAGTGGACAGCGCTTCGGATTCGTAGTCCTGAGGTTCCGGGTTCAATCCCCGGTGGAAGTGGAGACAAATGGGCAAAATGTTTCTTTCACCCTGATGCCAGTTACCTAGCAGTAAATAGGTTCCTTGGAGTTAGACAGCTGTTAGACAGCTTTTTTCTTGACTTCATTTCAACACATATTGACCAACAACTTTCACATATTCTAGTATGAATGCCAAACAATGTTTATTAAAACATACAAGTAAATTAATGAATTAGAACTACCTTATTCATTGTCAGGTTCCAAGGGGTTGTCATAGCCAGGAGGTGGTAATGGGGGACGAGCTCCTATGACCTATAAAGCTCCCGTACGGTGTGCGTCTCAAATAGCCTCTGACAACCAAGTTTAACGCCTGGCCTGCACAGGTGGCTTAAGTCTACGTCCGGCGGAACTGCTTTTACTGACAGGAGAAGGGGCGAGGGTGTGCCTCTGACACCTCCGGGTAGATGCAACTCGTTAGCCTGGGAAGGCAGCCCATCTAGGGTAAGGAAAACCCTGATTTCAAACCTCTGCTGCCTTGCGGCCATATCCCTCTTTTGGGAAAGGCTTCAGGAGACAACCTCGAGGAAAAATCAGGAGTTGGAGCCCCCTAAGGCAGTTCGTCGTTGACTTCGACCTCGTTCTGGCAACTCCTGCAATGGTGCTGGAACCATGTGTATTGGCATTTGCCTTTCCATTGGATAATTCCAGCAACATGGAGAGGGGGGACCTGCTGCATGGGTAACAGCTTTTCCTCCATATCTACCTACCCAGGTTTTGCGCCCTGGAGAGTGTGACAACCTGAGCGCAACTCCATAGTCTCAAGAGACTGAAGGATGCCTACTGTTCATTATCAATAACTTCAACTTCAATTAACTCAAAAACTAGAGTTTCAACTTTGAGTCAGCTTCAAAAATCCAGTTTCTGACCAAATCTCACCATTTTTACATATAGTGAGAACAGCTGTCTGTTCTACAGCCCTAACTGATTGTTTTTTCATAAACCTTAAATGTTGGGAGTTATTAATTTTTTTGTCAAAATTTGGCACATATTTCAAATGCCATATTGAGAAATTATTTTTACAGTAAACTATACTGAATCCTATAATAACAACAAATAAAAATGAAGATCATATGCTCTTTTGAGAGCATAATAACACCAAATGAACAATGTGATATTTTATATTTTGATGCTCATTTAAATATCTGAAATTTTCATTTATATAATTATTTTTAATTTTCTAGTTTTTCAAGTTACGTTGTGATTATTTAGACAAACTTGGAGCATGTGCTTAGTAGATTATGTACAAAAAATTTGAAAGCATTTGAGCAAGGTGCAAAATTTCATTTCACCGCCCTTTAAATTTAACAAAATATTATCACCACAATGAATCGTGATGCTACAATTGATTTTGGCTCCCAAGGAAAAACAACAGACAAAATATTACCTCCTATAATAGTATTAAATAAAAGTGGGTTCCATTTGCCAAATAAACTCTTAATACAACATTTGGTGAAATATGCAACACTGACCACCAAAACTTTAATACACTCTTCTCAACATTGCAGGAATAAATGCAAACAAATTATTCACAGTTAACTCATTTATATATCAAGCACTGACAGTTTCAGATGAAATTAAAACTCAAGTTGGTGGAAGACCATCTTAACCATTACAAGACAACATAGTTTGACCAAAGATTTGAAAACAAAGATCCAGAGTGTCACATCTCAGAAATTAGGTCATCGAGATTCCTTACCAAAGAGGCTAGGTATGCACCAGATCAAAAGAGCATAAGACAAAAATATGTTGCAAGTGCTTCAACCCTATCTGCTTGGAACATGCTATACAGATGTGTTAACTGCTCTACTGAGGGTCAATAGGAAGAGAATGTAAAGAAAAAGTACAATAGGACGAGAAAAAAGTACAGTATTTCCATTGCTCTTTCTTTATGCAAGATTCATAATTAGATTTTTTAAGGCTGATTTGTAAAAATAATGTACGATCAAATTCAATATAATATAATATAATAAGAACATTGGGTTTTTCATCCTCTACTTCACTAAGTACATATTACTTACCTGTAACAACATTTGTAGTTGAGGGGGGATTTGTGACGTAAATTGTTGCTGAGGAATTTGTACCATTGACTGGTGGTGAACCTCGGTTGGGGGGATGGTTGGGTAGACGTGGGGTGCCCCAGAAGGTGACGAGATGCGGCTTCTGGCTTCATGCTCTGCAGTCCCAGGAGCCCCCGGTGTGCCAGAGCGTCCAGGATAGTAATAGCGGTCATACAATCGTGTGTACACCATGGCCACCTGCACAGATCATACACACAGGCTTGTTGATAAAGTTTTAAATTGTTTTCTTATCATTAGTTGGATTCTATCTAACTGTAAACACCCACCAGTAATTCACAGAGTCTCTACCCTCATTATGCCAGAAGGTTACATTCCTCAAAAATGATTCCCAGAGCGAAATAAATTTTGATATGGGAAAATAGATTCGGTTCCAGATCTAAAAAAAAATTCCATCTTCCTACACCTGTTGTGGTGTATATTAAATTCCTGTGTCTCCGTCCCTCCCTCTTCCATCACCTTTGCTCTTCTCCCTCCTCCTCTATCTACCTTGTGCCTTAACCACTGCATTGCACAACGCACCTTGAGGCGCTAGATTGAGGGTGCGCAAGGTGCCTCCTCGAGGTTACCATGAGGTGTTTTCGGGGCTTTGCGTCCCAGCGGCCCGTCATCAACCAGGCCTCCTCGTTGATGGACTGGTCAACCAGGCTGTTGAATGCAGCTACTGACAGCCTGACATATGAATCACAGCCAGGTTAATTAGGTACCCTTTAGAAGTGCTTATCGAGTTCTCTTGAACACTGAGGGGTCGGCCAGTTATGCCCCTTATGTGTAATGAAAGCGTGTTGAACAGTCTCAGGCCTCTGATGTGATTCAATGAGTCATTGGAGCCAATTGAGTGACTCAAGGTGCTAGTAGGTATAGCATAGCATCCAAAACTCCCACGGCTCCACGAGGTTCATATCAGCTTTGTCAGGGCTCTCGTAAAGAGACGCCATTTAAAAAAAATCGTGACCAACATTTCCTGGGTGTGAGAGCCTCAGTACTGAGTAAGCAACCAAGGCTGGTGCACGCAGCATGAGCTCACAGCACTGTTGTTCAGCTTGTGACCACAGCATCGCCTAAAAATGTCAAAATACATATGTGACTGGTATTATTTAGCCATGATAGTATTACAGAAGAGCCTGACTCTGATAAAGACTGTGTACAATGTTCAGATATCAGTGAATCAATGATGTTCAAGATGTTCACAGCGCTAGCCACAGCACACTGCCATTATTTCGTCCATCTGAGAATCTTCAAATGACTTCTCATGTTCCTTTACAAAATAAATTTGTGGAAATTATTCATTTACAGGATTTAGTGACCAGGATTCTCATAATAGGAGAATTGTGGTGAGAACTAGCAATGCACATAGTATGGTGGGAAGAGTAAACTTGGTGAGGGAGTGAGGGAGAGTTGGCGTCATCTAGCGTCGTCTGCTGGCAGCTATATGACCTGTCTTGCAGTTTTTTGTTGCCACTATGTTGTTTGGACACCATTCTAGCTTATGTGTATAGTTATGGTTAATAAAAAATATAGATACCTATATATAACATGTGTGTATATAGTGTAATAAAACCACAAACAGTATTGTGGGAGGAGTAATGTTGGCGAGTTAGGCACCGAAGGAGTGAGGGAGGGCTGGCTAGGTGTGACAGCCCACTCTTGTTTTTTGGGTTCACCATACCAACTTATTGGTTCATTATGATGAACACACATGTAGATAGGTATATACAGTGTGTATATAGTGTAATAACAGCAAAAACACTGATTGATCATAGAATATAATATACATGTCACATATATGAGCCCCATAATTTTGAGCATAGGAATGTTCCATACATTGAACTATATAAATTCCACAAATTACACACTTTTGAATAATATTACAGCAAAAAAAAACAGAAAAGAAAATAAAAGAATGAGAAACATCAAAATAATTGTGAAACTTGATATTTGTGGCAACTGCTGCCCCACGGGGTGGCGGGGCCTAGTGACCTTGAGCACTCATCACTCAGCGTCCATAATATGCTCAACTTCCCAGCTCCATCTCGGCAAAAGTATGTCACATACAATATTTCTTTTTTTTTTTTAGTTTCCTGTGACCAGTGACTGCATTTTAACAATAAGAAAAAATAATTTTTTGGAAAGAATTATTTTTGGTTCACCACGGGTTGTCATATTATAATGTAGAGCAGTGCAGTGGTTAATGAATAGTGCTTACCTAACAGTGACTACAGGGAAGCAAGATCTAGTTCTCTATGATCTGCCTACTAGCCTTGTGGTACCCATTTTACTATAATTAAACTAGTCTTAACACCATCGCTCTCCCCACGAGAGCGCCGCAGACTTTGACGTCATGGGGCCAATGGTGCGGGCGAGCGTGCGGCAACGCCTAAATGTTTATACTCATTTCAGTTTTCTCACCTTAATTCTTGTGCTGCATTGTTCGTTTTGGTATCATTGTTTTCACAATTAAAATCCCTGCAGATGTATATGCATATAATATCCAAAAGCCTTGCGAGACTTCCCACAGCAAAGCCTAAAGTCGGAAAAGTTACCCCGTGAGCGCACAAAATCAGTAAAATGTGTATACTTGTTTCAGTTTTCTCACCTTAATTCTCGTGCTACGTCGCTCGTTTTGGTATCATTGTGTTCGCAATTAAATTCCCTACAGGTGTATTGGAATATAATGTACAAAAGCCTGGCGTACCTCCCCGCAGGAAAGCCTAAAGTTACCCATAAACGAGCACCAATTTGTACACTGCAACCTAATGTGTATACTCGTTCAGTTTGATAACATCAATTTTCGTGTTACGTCTTTCATTTTGGTATCAAATTGTTCGCAATAAAAAGGCGCGTACTTTAAAACTAGTCCCAACATAATAGCACAATAAATAGAATTTTAACAAATAATTTTCACCAAAAACCTATTTATAATCATATAAGTGTTTGGACATCAAGTTTCATGTTACATCTTTCATTTTGGTATCAAATTGTGCGCATTCTGAAGGTGCTTAATTTGAAACTATCCCGAGGTTGATCGGATACAAAATGAATTTAATATAACTATTTTTGTAGTCCTGTCCAAAGTTAGGACTCGGGAGAAAAAAAATGGACGTGATACGTGTCTAGAGAGAGCGATAGTGTTAAGAATAAATTCTTTGTTGAATCTGGCTTTAAGGTTGTTGTTGGAGGTGGCTTCCACCACTTCAACTATAGGGTGTATTTCATGTGGATGACCATTTGCATTTCCAGCCGTCTTCTTTTACTCTCTCTCAATTTAAAAAGGAGGCCGTCCTTGTCATCCTCGTCTAGTCCCCACGGACTGTTGCACGTTACACACACTTTCTTCTCTCCTCTAGGGTTATGTGGTTTAGTTCCTTTTACCCTCATCATACTCAGAGCATAAGTCTCTTATTTCCAGCACTAGTCTTCTTACACACCTCACATTCTTCCTTTTGGGTTTGTGCTTCACAAGCTGTGGTTTCCAGGTTGATGTTGTTGCATACTCCATTATAGTGACCAAGGCTGCCTGCCTCCCTCCTCCACCCCCATACCTGCCTCCTTCCTCCTCCTTCACCCCCACACCTGCCTCCCTCCTCTTCCTCCACCCCCACACCTGCCTCCCTCCTCCTCCACCCCCACACCTGCCTCCCTCCCTCACTCCCTCCACCCCCCGCACCTGCCTTCCTCCTCCACCTCCACACCTACCTCCCTCCTTCACCTCCCTCCTTTGAGGAAGGGCCTCCAGACTTCCTGTGACTGGCTTGAGAGACCTCCAAACTTCTTGTGATTTCAGTATATATCCAGTTGTCTGATTGAAGTCAGAGTGGTGCAGTGGTTATCTTGAGGTTATCTTGAGATGATTTCGGGGCTTTAGTGTCCCCGCGGCCCGGTCCTCGACCAGGCTTCCACCCCCAGGAAGCAGCCCGTGACAGCTGACTAACACCCAGGTACCTATTTTACTGCTAGGTAGCAGGGGCATAGGGTGAAAGAAACTCTGCCCATTGTTTCTCGCCGGCGCCCAGGATCGAACCCGGGACCACAGGATCACAAGTCCAGTGTGCTGTCCGCTCGACCTACCGGCTCCCGTCAGTGGCTGGGATTCTCTCGCACGCAGGTTCCAATCACTTCATAACTCCAGTTGAGCTTCTCATTGATATATCACAATGTGATTTCTGTGTAAGTTAGGGGAGTGTGTCTTGAGTTTACCTGTATCTCTAGTTTATGTACAGTCAATTTGGAGAGTTGTTCTGCTCTCCAAGCCTAGCTTGGGGCCAGACTTTATTTGTTGTTAACTTGCTCCAGCTGACTGTTGCTTGCAGCTGGCTGCAGACAGTGGTGGACTAACGTGCTCTCTACTGATCTTTCTGTTTCCTATTCTAGCGGTCAAAGACAATATGTAAAGTTATTTGCCCTGATGGGGCTCAAGGTCACCCAAGAGACACGTGTACAAACAAGGAACAGGTTGGGTTCAGTGCCAAAGCTAAATGTCCAAATGTTCAAAAGCTATTGAGAGGGCCTTCCTCAGAACACACTGATGACACAGCTACAAGCTGGTGAAATCAATAAATTATCTCTAGTATAGATGTCTAATTACTGAAGTAAAAGATAAGTTGTAGATGGACACTTGCACAATATACTGTCACTCTGCAGACAGTGCCATACCTGTGGAGAGTCAGTTGAGCGGTCATGGTGCGGAGAGGCCAGCACGTGAGGTGAAGACTGCCCACGGGGAGCCAGGGTTGTAGAAGCACCACTTGATCTTGCAGGGAACTCAGCTGGCCCCGGAGTGCCAGTGCCAGATCTAGGCTCTGGTTTTTCAGCTTCACCCTTCTCCAGCTTCATGTCAAGTGCCAATGGTGTTATTATCTTTTCGCTTCCTGGAAAGTGAAGTTTCGTGACAAAAGTGGCAATACTGCATGTTACAAATACATAACCCATAATACTAAACAGTTCAACATGTGAAGCACATTTTGTACTTGATTAATTTATCTTAAGTGTGTGTTATTCTACTAATATATATTAGTTCACGTAAGATGCTGAACATACCATAGATGCCATAATACTGTGTGGGATACACGTGTGGCAGGTATGCAGGCGGCACCCCTCTCATCATCTCCCCCTGAAATAAAAATGTGATCTGGGATTAAAACTAAAGTACAAACAGCTTTTAGAATACTTTATGTATGAAATTAGCAGCCTGATTGGGACGAGACCCAATTTGGGTCTTGTCCCCAACTAAAAATAGACCAGGTTGAGAGTGAGAGGTTGACAATTTGCACAACTCTCCCTCACTTTAATCTAAGTCGAGTGCAAGTCATGATTTCAACCCATATATTTAAGTCGTGGTCATCTTCGACGACGAAGGACGATCATCATCATCAATTGTACATTAGGTGTTTTAAGTAAAATTTTGTAACAAGAAATTATGCACAATTTAACACATAGTATACAGTGTATTCCCACACAAACAAAACTACAGCTAGGCAGGAAGGTTTGTCATCCCTTGCACAATACTGTCCTCCTGACATCCTGTGGGTATTCTTCACACCACAACTCATGATAAATATCAACAAAATACACCCCAATGTATCCATTCCATCCAGCAGTTGAACTCATAGATGCACTCACTATGATGATGTGTATAAGTATATATCAAGAATAATAAAATACAAGTTAAAAATATTACAATGTGTGAAGCATAATTAATGAAAACTATATTTTGAAACCCTCAAAGTGTGGTTATCATAAATTGATTCATGGAGTAATGAAATTATCATACATTGATTTAAACTAGTATTGTCTGGGTTTTATACAATGATGCTACTATGGATAGCATACTAGCTCTATATGGATGTAGTGGACTTTACCTTTGACCTATGAAAAAACTTCATATCGTTTCATGATTGCTTATTATGTAAGTGCGGTTACTGTCACAAATGTTACCATGGTAATGCAATAAGTTATAGTATAAATTTCCATTACAGTTACACGACTATTTTTTTATTATTATATATACTGTATATAGCGGTACCACTACCGGTGCAGTTTTAGGGACCCATAGCCTTGTCGGAGGTGAAACAAAGTGCGAGAAAGCTTGCAAAACAGGGCTGAAGGAACGTCTACCCCGGACGCAACCACAAGTGGCTCCGTCAACTCGGGATAAAATGTAGGGAAGGCAATGAAGGGAGAGAAAATGGCGAAAAGACCGCCAACAAACCTCATGCTGTCGCTGAAAAGAAGACTGCAGGTGGCACATCATCAAAGCAACCCCCTGATCATCATACCAATGGTGATAAAGATGTGCAAAAATGTCCAGATATCAAAAAGCAGAAGTGAAGGTTGAACCAGTGAGGTACGTCACCTGCCCAACTCTGATAGTAGCAGAGCTGCAGAAAGAAGCCTGGATTCGGACACTGAGCAAGCAACGCCTGAAACCAAGGCAGGGCTGGCCACCAAGCAGCCACAAAAATCACTCTTCCCCTGTAAGACTCTAGCCAAGCCAGCACCAGGAGCAACAACTGGAACGGGGAAAAAAGAGGTAAATGCACCTCCATCTCGACCAGTCCAGCCATAAGGCATCCACCGCAAGAGCCTCACAGTCAGGGAATGATGCCGCATAGTGGCGAATGCTGAGACCACGAAGTTGCAAAGCAGTTGACATTTGGTTGCTCAAAAGTCCGGCAAGGCGAGAGGAAGGAAATGACGTTGACAGTCTATTCCATGGAAAGAGGAAGGCAGCGAAACAGACGGTCGGTCAAAATGTCGGACACTACTGGAACATGCACAGCGCACAGATGGAAACCCCGATAACCAGTCAGTCGAAGAGCTACCCGAAGCAGTCCAATTCGTCCTCAGACCAACTCCATTCCACCCAGCAGTCGAACTCAAAGATGCATTCATAAATTGAATAACATGTTCATTCAAAATAGGAATTTTTTCAAACAAATAAAAAATTTTATATATTAGCATACTGTGCACATTTAGCCATTTGTTAAGTTAGGTTAGATGTTTAGGTTCTGTTGGCGATTACTTGTATTTGTAGTACGTGGGTAAAGCATTTATAGTGTTGTAGTTCAAACAAACGTCGTCAACAAAGCATTTGTTCTGGAAATATTTGGACATCATCAGTAGTGAGTCATGTGTAAACCGTCTTTCATTCATAAACAGAGGGTTTGGCAGGTGTATAAATAGACTTTGGCCTTTGTTTATGAGGATGGGCCGAGCAACCAGCACCACAGAGCCACGGACCGAAGATACCCCCCCTTGCTCCGGTGGAGACAATAGACCATGGGAGGAACAGTCCGAAAGAAGCCAGATCACCAAGCCCAGGGGAATCCAAACTCTCCGCAGCACCAGCCACACCACCTGTACTCCTGTACTGTGCTGTGAGCCAAGAGAATGCCAACAACCCTGGCCTGATTGGTGAGCACTGGCCACAAATCCCCAACCTGCAGCCAAGGTGTCTGAACATATCGAGCGAGAAGGTGTTGTTGGCGGAAGGTGGTAAGGCGTCATGGCACCAAACCTCAAAAACCCTGAAGAGGAAGCTGGGGATGCAGCAACCAGCGAAGGGACCCCAAGGCATGGACCCATTGAACACGAGAGCGGTGAAAGGGGCTGCCCCAAAGGAACCAAAACAGCCTCCAAAGCCAAATCTTGCCCAAAGGGAAACCAGAAGGGTGAAGGTGAGACTCCCGCACATGTGCTTGAGCATCTGCCGAGTAACCCGGCTCCTCAACTGTAGCCGACAGCAGGACTGCAGCTGAAGCAAAGCCGCAGGGGGCAGGGAGGTGACACTGACCGAGAATCCCAAGACATGCCAACTACGTCCGAACCAGGGACGGAACCAACCGAAATCTCCTCCAAATCACCAGGAACTCGAACCCGGCAAGGTGGGAAAGAATCAGATCCCTTGCTAGTAGACAGACCAACCGAGAGCCCAAACCAACCAGTCGTCGAGATAGGCCAAGACCCAAAGACCTTGTAGACGAAAACAAGCCACCACGACCCCAAGTCAAATGTGTGAACATGTGAGGTGCCAGATTCAGCTCGAAGGGAATACAACAAAACCGTTAAGCCCATCGCCCCACCATGAAACCTAACCAATTCCTGAACCCCGGATGTAGAGGGACGTGCCAGTACGCATCCTTGAGGTCCAGGGGCCATGGGAAGTCATCCGAAAGGAGGTGCAAATAATCAACCGGATCAGACAAGACACGTCCAGAATGTACCGGAGATCTGCACAGTCCCGTTTCAGAACTGGAAACAGGAAGGAAACCAACCCGAGATGAAGCTATTTCGAACAAATCCAAATGAACCCACTGAGACAACCTGACAGATGGACGAGAAAGAGGCCTCCCCCCTCCTCAACCCAATTCCCAAAAGGGAAGCCCAACGCCACCAAAGGCCACAAGAAACTACCCAAAAAGCCCACAAATTGTGGAACCAGGCGTGAGCAAAAAAGGGCCAGCCTTCCCACCATTGCCCTATTAACAGGGCGACCAGCGAAAGGGCCAACGCGAACCCCGAGAGCCCGACTTCTGTGCAGTGAACATCACGCTGACCAGAGGAAGAATGCAACGGGGTCACTCCGACTCAAGAAACTTGCACCACAGGCCTAACCCTGACCAAACCAAGCCCGAGACCCGGCCCAACCCATCCAGGAGGGCCGAGAATGACACCCACAGAGAACAAAGCAGAAATGGAACAGCAACTGACAGAAGCTGCAGACAAAAACTGAGCAACACTGTCCTCTGAAAACAAAACAGAACAAAATGGTGCAGTCGACTGTAGAGCCAGGGCCCCAAGTTGAATCCAATAAAACCAGCCAGCACAACCTGCAAAGCCATGCCATGACAAGATGGGCGGTGAAAAAACATGGAAACTGCCTCCCAGATTATTGGCACAAACAGCTTCAGTAAGGCAGATGACACCGGAGCAGCCAAGACAGAGACCCCCAGCCGAGGGTCCCCCACCCTATGACCCCACATCTTTCGAAAGCCAATCCGAAGACAGCTTCAGAAGACCAAAGAATCGCAAGACATAAGCTAAGTGACCACAAATCCGAAGGTCATCAGCCACCAAAACAGCCAAAAAGAGTGGGAATCTGAGCATGAAGCATCAGCAGACCAACATCACCAGGAAGCACAGGAGTGAAGAGGAACTCATTGAGAAACTCTAGAGAGCCACCCAAGAATACCTGCAACACATTTCTACTGCAACAGTAAAACCTTCCACTACTCAACTGTGCGGGTACGACAAAAATCGTTAATGTTAATGAGTGGAGAGCTAGTTGATGAGGTGTTGTTTGTTTTCTTTCTGGGGGCATTCTTTTGCTATATTGAGGACATAAGCCCCAATTTTCAACCAGCCAGTGGTTTGTTTTGATTCATCTACCTTTCTGGGTCCTTTCTGGGTCAATGGCAAGTATAACATACTTTAAATGTAAAGTGCTCATAGGCCGTTGCTCCCTCCGCCTCTCTGCGGGGGTCAGGGTTTAGCTCCTGGTCCCTGGTAGGCATAAGAACTATGTGACTGATGACCCCAACTAATATAGCACTAACAGTTCGGATAGCTTTAGGGGAACCTCTGGGGCTCCCCACAGAAAACACTATAAAGTAGATGTCACAACTGCAAGAAAAATGACAGGGTGGAA